GCTGTGCAGCTCGGGGAGGCCCTGGCACCGGGAACTTGGTGTTCCAACACCCACCCCTCCGAACATTCTCCATATGGTGCTCATGGCTTGGGAATGATGGGGGGTTCGGGGCCGGGGGACGAGGCTGGGTTTGCTACACAGCTGCCGTGCTGCGAAATGAGCATTTACTATTGTCTGGAAAAACGGGATTTCTTGCCGGGGCAATCCGGGAATAGAATTTCCAGGGCACTGCTGCAGTGTGAGGGGTGAATCATCGCTGCGTGCCGGGCTCCGGGATCCTCTCCCGGGTACCAGCCTGGCTCGGGCAGCCTCTCCTCCCGCAGCACAGCACAGCAGCAGCAGCAGGGTGGTCCCGGCCCGGCTCTGCCTTTGTCTGCGCTCCCGGCCACGCCAGTGTGGGGCTGGCAGCGAGCACAAAAGCCGAGGCGGCTCCCGGTGCAAGCCGTGATACCAAAGCAAAGGCAAGATTTGGCTGAGCCCCCCCCGCCCCATCCTCATCCCCATCCCCTCCCCAGGCAGATGCTGTAAAAGGTACAAAGATCTGCCTGGCCGCACGTTGCTGCCCCGGCCAGCCACGGGGCTGAGCCCCTCGCTCTCCCCCGAGTGCATCCATCCATCCGTCCGTCCGTCCATCCATCCATCCATCCATCCTCCCGAGCAAAGCGATGCCCTGGCACCTGGAGGTGATTCTCGCCCGAGAGCCCGGCCGAGCGATCGTTCTCTTTACCTTTTGTGAGCTGAAAGACTGGGTCCAGTGGTACAAAACCAATCTGTCCTGGGATTTGAGAGCGGGGTCTGTCGGGTCGTGATTTTCCTCCCCTTCCGTGGATTTCCCCGCGCTGTTCTCCAGCGCCGAGATCGGCCACCAGCTGCAGTTGGTGGGAGTAACATTATTGGGAGTCGCCATGACAGCAGCGAGCGAGCGGGAGAGGGACGGGGAGAGCGGCGCCAGCCCAGCATCACATGGGCTCCTGCCAGCCCATCCCCGGGGCAGCCCCGGCTCCGCGGGCGGTGGGCGCGGGTCACGGCTCGGGCCGGTGCCGCTCCCGGTGCCGCCGCTCCCGGTGCCGCCGGCGCTGCCCGTCCCCGCTCGTGGCGGGGCTCCCACGGAAACGTGCAGGCATCGCTTCAAGAGAGGAGTCAGCAGAGGAGGCTCCCGCCTGCCAGCTCGGCAATCCGGGGCAGCTCCAACGCCTGCGGCTTCCTAAGAACATTTTTCAGCAGAGATTAAGATGATTTTTTTTTTTTTTTTTGAGTGCTTTAGATATGGCGGATGTGTAATAAATAGCCACAGTGATGGACACTGGCTTTAAAATGCCTAGAAGGTGTCGTTGCAGCCTTCATGGAATGAAGCAGCAATGGCTCTTTAAAGGTATTCAATTATTTTTGGAGAGCACAAATTAATTTCTGCCTATTGGGTGTTATGTAGCCCATAGAGGGGCAGAGCCCAGGAGCCTTTGCTGCGTGCCAGATCCCAAACTGGACAAAGTAGGCACAGCTGGGGGTCACTTCCAGAATTAGCAAGGTGTGTCACAGTTCCAAACTGGCCAGGAGACTCAGAGGGCACTGGTGCTTCTGCAGCTGCTGCTCTCCAAGCCCTGTGAGCGTCACACAGGGGTTTGCAGGCACAGGTGTGTAGGCAGCTGGACACAGTGACCTGGACATCTGGACCTGTGCTTTGGACACTTGGCTTTGTCATGCCACATCTCCAGCAATCTGGGAGCCTGGAGATATTTTCCCATCCTTGGAGCTGTTGCCAGTGCCAGGGGATAAAGCCAGTCCCATTAGGGGTGTTGTAGGGGCAGGTTCTGGTGAGGATGGGGACAGGCCCTGCAGGCACAGGGAGCCAGCCTGTGTCTCAGGGCTGTGTGAGGGCTCTCACCGTGCACCACTGGGGCTGGTGAGGATAGAAACAGGATGGTTTGGAAGAGCTGGTTTGAGTGGGGAAACTGAGGCACGCTTCACCCAGGAGCACTGGCGGGGAGCAGGGCTAAACTGGTACCCAGCTGCATGAATATGGTGCAAGAAACAGTTTTCTAGAGACTGGGGGATGAAATGAATTATTTGGTTGCTGTGATGTTCTGCTCCTCAGGGTGTGCAGAAGGTGATGAGAGGGGTGAGGCTGGGAAATGCTGTGCTCTGCCCTGGCTCCTCCCTCTCCCCCCGTAAGCAACAGCCCCCAATAGCAACTTCTCTCCCAAGTCCCTGAACTGGCCTCAGGGTCACCCACAGGAACAGGCTCTTGCCTGGCCTCTGCTTTGGGGCTGCAAAAACAAGGGAAAACTGAGTTTTGAAGAACTGGCACCCCATGCAGCACCATCCTGCCCTTTGCTCCACAGCCTCCCCTCGCTGCAGGCATTTTTGGGGGCTCCTTGCACGGGAAGGGGACACGGTGGGTGCAGGGAAGGCAGGGAGCAGGTTGGCCAGGCAGCAGCTGCTCTCCCTGGATCGCTGTCCAGAAGGCCCCATCTAGTGGTACAGCTTGTGATGAGTTGGTGTGGGGAGCAAAGCACGGCAGGTTTTACTGCATCCCTCTGGGTCCTGCCGGTACACGGAGCCTCTGTAGGGGACTATTTATTTAGCTGGGTTTTGGCTTGCTAAACTGAGCAAGGCTTGAAGGGCACGAGGGGTGCCAGTCCCCCTGACCTTGTGTGACCTTGAGATCATCCCCAGCATTCAACAGAGCCTTCCTGATTGCCAGAGGGGCTGGTGTGGGGCTGCCCCATGGGATCTGTGCACAGCCCTGGCAGAAGGTGCCACGGGAGCAGGGTTGTGCTGTTGGCAGTTTGGGAATACTGAATCCAGGGGAGGAATTTCAGAGCTGATGCAAAGATTACAGAGATGAGAGAACAGGAGGATGGAGTTGGTCACGGGACTTTGCAGGCACTGAAGAACCCTCCCTGTTTTAGAAGGAGAGGGTGGAAAACAGGCTCCAGAAAAGGCTCCATTGATTTTTTTTCCCCCCAGTGGCCTGATTAAGTGTCTGCCAATGTAAAGCTCAGCTTGGATTCGATTTGGCTTCTGTAAGGCAAGAAAGAAATGTCATTGATGCAGGGTACCCTTCTGCTTCCTGCTTTGGTTTACCTGGTCCTGAAAGCAGAGGGACAGGGACTTGTGCTGCTGGAAAACACCCAGGCTGGCTCTGCTGAAAGAGGAAGCAGACAGTTGGGATCTGGCAACAGGAAAGTCCTGGGAGCACTGCAAGTCCACTGGTGCTTTCTCAGAATATTTCAGATATATTCTGTAGATTGACTGGGAACAGATCCTAGAGCATCCACACACAGAAAAAATCCCCCAGGCTTGTTGGGGCAGGTAGAGCAGCAGCTGGGAGCAATAGGGCTGCATTCAGCACAGTTTGTACCAGAGCATCTCTACTCATCAATCAAGCTAAAGGTGCTGTGCAGGCATTCCCAGAGAAGATGCAGTTTTCCAATAAATCCTGAGGTTTCGGGCAGGCAGCAAAAATAAGTCACTGCGTTATCAGAGTGACATGGATGAGCTGAACTGAGAAGGTTTTGATGGAAACAATAAGTTTGGGCCCCTCTTAGGGCCCATCATTCAGCCCCAGGGGTTGGTCTGTGCTGTGCAAATGTCACCAGCAATGTTCCAGTACATTTGCTGCAAACCTTACAATTGCAGTCAAGAACCAAAATATGTGCCTTTGCTCTGCCACAGGCAGCACTAGATGTGCTTAAACACTGGCAAAAACAGGGGTTCAGGAAGAAAACAAAATGACTGAGTTACTGTCTTTTTCCCCTTTTCCTTCCTCCTTCACTAGCAGTTCTTCCAGTCCTCCACAGGACACTGTGCCCTCAGACCCTGCTCTCAGGCTGTTCCCTCCCACCTGCTGTTCTGGCAACTTAAATTCATTTCTCATCCCTCAGTTTCAGGTTATATCTTGGACTAGTTTAACCTCCACGATTTCCCCAATTCCTCCTCTCTCCCTGGACACAGCAGGTGTGTGGCACATTGTTCTGCTCCAGCTGAAAACGTGCCCTCCAACGCTGCTCATCCATACTGGGTTTATGTAACACCAGCCCAGACACTTCCCAGGGTTCTGCACACTTTATTCAAAACTGCCCCAAGGTGACCTTGAGCAGGCTGCCACTCCACATTTCTACAGAAGGGCCTTGCTATGCCCCTTCATTAGGCTCCAGATGCAGAAAGGAGTGGGGACAACCAATACCAGGCTTAAATAAGAATTTTTGTGCACGTGGAAGAGCTGTGCCTCAGCTTCACACACATGGACTCTGGATCAGGGGAAACAACCCTCTGTCTAGCAACAATTCCCATGGTGTTAAAGAGGGCACAGAACCAAAACATGAATAAAAATAGGAGCAGATACCCTCTGCTGAAGCAGAAACACCCTCCAAAAAATAGCAGCAGCAAAGATAGCTGGTACTAAATATTTATGTTTACAAGCAAAGTACATATGATACCAGATTTTCTGTAGGGAGAAAGAAGGGAAAGTGGAGAAAACCCAGAGTGTGTGTGGGTATTGCAGGATGGAGCTGGAAGAGGGAGGTGACAGGAGGAAATGTAGAAATCAGTTACATTTAACTTGAGTAAGAGCAAATACTGCATGCTAAATATATGCATGAAAACTAAGAGCAAAATGAGTTTTAGTTGTATTCTTATGGTTTTTGATTTATTTGGATTTTAAATCTCAGCTTCCTGGACTTGTAAATTTTTGGGATGGTGAGAAGAAAATCTAGATAAAATTATCATCTAGAATGTCTGAGCCTTCTCCAGCACAGAATACAAAGCCAACTGTCCACATCTGCTCTTCATCTATTTTTACACAACTGCTTGTGACTCCTTGGCTTGCTGACCACTTATTTTTCAGCATGTAAGTAAAAATTACAGTACTTTACTCAGACATGGTTGTTGAGCATGTACAGCTGACACTGAAACCAGAGTTTTGTTAGGTTTTTTTTTTTTAACTAAAAAGGTCTTGAGGGAAGAGGAATATGTGCCAAATTATCCAGACTTTAAGTTGCTGGGTTTTGACAAACATTTATTAATGCAAGTCTCGGCAACAGAATTTTTTATTGCAGTTATTTTCAACCAGCAGGAATGTCATAGCTCTACAGCACAAAGCCAGGATGACACACATCTTGTTCACCCCCTTTCCACACCACTTTGTGTATCAGATGTGCTCAGAAATATCCTGTATAGACAGTTCCACCCTCTCCACTTCTGAGACTGCACAGCCCAAAAAACCTGGTAGCCTGCTCCACTCCCCCCTAAATTATTCCATCTGTAAAGCACAAATAACAAAATATATTTTTACTTCTAAGAGCTTCACTTATCTGCAGAAAAATAGAACTGCTTAAGAGTGAGCGATTTAGATTAAGGAAGGGTCCAAGTACACACGCTCTGGACCTCCCAAAAAAATTGTAAGGAAGAAGCATTCACAACTTGATCCAACTAAAAAAGGAGCCAGCCAGTGTTCAAGGAAAGGAGATTCATCCTATCCAAAATGCTGAATGTCTTCTCATCCTTCTCTCTAGAGCAGGATAAAGAAGATGGAGCTGTAGCTGTGAAACTTTTCTCTAAGTATGGAGGTACATTAAGAATGAACATTCCAAACACATCAAAATATCAGAAAAAAATAGAAGTTTTTTTGGTTTTGTTTGGTTTTTTTTTCCAAAACATAGTGAAAATAGCATACAGAGCTTCAATATCCACAGCACAAACCAAAAACCAAACAGAGCTCATTTGATCTAGAGTGCTTTTGTTAAGGTATTCAGAGACTTTAGTGCATTCTTTTTAGAACTAAGCTCAGAAACTATATTTAATTTTTCATTTTATTAGAAAACTAAACTGTATGAGGCAAAGAAACATTTAATCAAACACACAACAGTGAAAACATGGCACTGACAAGGCAATTAGCCCAACCATTGTATCAAACTCTGCTTCAGGATTCTCTATTGCTTACAGTCAAGTATACATCATCTCTGCCATGTGAGACATTTTCTTGGGAATATATAAGTAGTACTCCATGTATCCCGAAAGATCTTCAATAGTCACATCATCCACAAAGGCTCGAGCTTGCTCAGAACAAGACCTGGGAGAGCTGGCAGAGGCTGTGCCAGAGGGAGATCTGTTCTGGAGGGAGTGGGCATGGACTCCCAGGACAGCCCTCTCGCACTCGGACAGGACGCTGCGCAGGCCGGAGAAGGAGTACACCTGCATGGTGCGCCACTGCTGGCACTGGCACTTCCTGTCCCTGCAGGGGCACTGCCTGCCCTTGCTGAGCATGGATAAGGACTGGAAATCTGAGGTTTGCAAGCTGTTCTCAAAGGATGAGGAGAGAGCAGGGCAATTCTCCCCCAGCTGTTGCAAAGGCTCTTCGGCGGTGAAAGCTTCCAACGGTTCAGTTCTGTCGTTACTGGCCTCAAGGTGAGAATCCTGCCCGTCCTTCGTACCATGTTCTGCTGGGACAAAAACATCTGAGCTGATGACACCCTTGGAAGTGTCTGCCTGGGGTTTGTGTTTCAGCTGGCTGTTGGCTTTCATGTTGCAATAGGTGAACTTGGGAGGGTGCAGGACTGGAGACTTGGAGCGCCGGCGCCGCGGGACCCTCGCTGATCCTCGGGAGGGCTTTCTCACACACCTGCAGGGTTCAACAGGTGAGCAAGTGGGTAACTCCAGAATCTACACTACAGCTCAGGAAGCTCTAAAATGTGATTAAAAACATTTTACAAGGTTATTTTTCTGCTCAGAAATACCAGATGACTGGACACTTACAATCTCTGACACAAACCATGGAGGACTCTGAAGAAATTCGGGTTCCCCCAAAGGAAAGATAGATACAAGGAACCCTTACTCAAGGTGCTTCCCCCCAGCTCTTCTTACTCAAGGTGCTTCCCCCCAAGTCTTCTGCCTTAAGCAAATGATACTCTGTCATCCCAAATTGAACTGTAGTGCAGAACCTGGGTCAGTTGGAGCTGCTAGCAGAGTCACACTGAATATCCAGGTACTTCAAAAGCAATAAAAGAACCCAAGAGTGAGGTGAGAGGGGGTTGCAAAAGTTTAAGACTTGCAGAAAAGTATTATTGATGATATCAACAGGAAAGAAAGTTTTGGGAACCCTCTCTCAGAGAAGATGCAATATTGTTTTTAAAGACTTTGATGAAATCAAAGAACAACATATCAGTTATGGAAACATTTTGTGATAGAAAGGAAAGATATCTTGAAGCAACTAATTAACAACAAGTGGTAGTGAAAGCAGCCTGTAACTGTTGAATGTGTCATGTTTTACCCATGCCATGCCTCCTTGGAGCTGACAGGCTGCTGCTTGGCTCCATCCATGGCTGCTCTTGTCGCTGTTCTGAGAATGGTCCCGTCGCCCACGGACAGAGCTGCAATACATCTGGGTAAAAAGGGAAATGCCACATCACCAAATGCCTGAACACACGGCTCCAGAGGCCCACATCCAGCCTCTGTGCTTTGGATGCTCAGCTAAGCCCATCAAATTTGCTACCTCTGTAGTCAGTGGGTAGAAACAGAGCCTTAAGAGAGATTTATACAACCCCTCTTACTATACTGGCCTGGTCAAGTGCCTAAAGATAGGTGAGATGAAATAAAAGGCAGCCAAAATGCCCAGAGGTTGATGTCATGCCCTATTTGTACCAAAATGACACATTAAAGGAATGTACACTTGGGTTCCAAACATTCTTGTCAGACAATAGTCATTAAAGACAGTCTCCTACTCTGAAATGCAAAGCCAGGCACCTGGAGCAGCAGGCTGAGGGGGAGTTGGTGGAGAAGTGGAGGAGGTACAACAGGCAAGGACAGATTACTGATTTATTTAGTTCTCATTAAATTTTTGAGATAAGCATGGAATGAAAAAAGCATCTGACCCTAGAGGTCTAGATGACAAACATAAATGCCTCAGCACATGAATCTCTATTTATAATTATGATGGCTGCAGGTGTGATTTGGAACACAGGAAATTTTAAGAAATGAGGCTGAAATTCAGCAAAGAGCCCAAATACTCTGCCCAAAGTTGATCTTAACGGATTAGTCACAAGATTTGAGCTGTTCACAACACATGCCTGCAAAACAAGATCTTTTTATGCCTAAGATGTCATCAGGAATCAACCAGAAGCCCACACAGTCTGCCAGTGGTACTACATCAGAAGTGTTATGATTAATAACCATAGTTCCTTGATAGAGAACAGCTATTTTTTTCCCCATTGCTCAGAAGACATCCTGAAGTAGAGGGAATGAGGAGCAAAGCAAAATATATTTCCCCATGCAGAGGAAGTCCTGAATTCACAGTGTTGATGGCTGTGGGGATGAATTCACAAGGCAACACTGTCAACACATAACTTCCTCTTGTGTTTGTAAATTCCTAAAAGACTTTAAATGAACTGTCTCAGAGTGTCAGACAGCATAATTTTATCAGCTCTTACACTACGTATTATCAGCACACCCAGTATCTTACTGAGTAAGTTTTTATAGTAAGAATGTTTGCAGATTCCACAAAACCCCCTGAAATCAGAAATGCTTAGAGTTCATATTTAGCCTGGCCCTTCCCAGTGACACTGGACTCCCCAGCACACTCTGAGGTGTTGGTGCTGCTGTCCAGACACTTTCCAAGCAAAATTCTCTGCACTAAATAAAGGCTTATAATGTGGCTGCAGACACCAGTGTTTACAGGGACAGACAAACAAATTCTGTGTCACACCAGGTGACCACAGTGACGACAGTTAAAAGTGGGTTCACTGCTTTAGGTGAGTTTTTTCATGTTTCCATGCAGTCACTGTGTGATTTCAGTTGGATATTAGTCAAAATTACTCTGTAATAAACTATTGCTTTGGATATTAGACAGTTATAATGACTGTATTTCATCTGAAGGGATGCAGTTCAGAGAGAGCAAAGAACCTTTCACCAAATGACTTTTTCTTTTTGAAATGTAAAATAATAGAAAAAAATACAAATATGTTATAAAAACCTGACAAATTACATTGCCTTTTTTGTTGCTCACTTACCCTGCTGCATCCACTCTCAGCTTTTTGAATGCTGTTTGTAGACTCTCCTCCTCTTCATCTTTAGCTTCCAAGTCCATTGATGTGCTCTCAGTGGGTAACCAACCGTGCCATATAGAATAAACTGAAACACAGATATTGGGATTTGATACTGAGGTCTGAACACAGAGGCCCTGTACAAAACTGACTGACACTGTGATGGGTGTTCATTCTTCTGTGGGCAATGTCACTGACCAGACCCACTCTGGACTTTACACTGGGAACGCCAAAGTCTGAGTTTTTCAGAACAAGCACAGCCTGCGTTAAAAATATCAAAGAGTCTTCTTATCAATGGATGAATACAGATGCTGGCAACCTGTGTAACTGAGCTGTGAGCATGGCACTTGCAGCAAAGCTTCAGAAAGGTTTCAGGAGTCACAGAATGGTTTAGGATGTCAGGGATCCCTGCAGGTCCCGCTCTCTTGCTCAGGCAGGGCCACCCCACGCTGGTTTCCCAGGACCACGTCCAGGTCGCCTTTGAATAACCCCAAGGAGAAAGACTCCAGAGCCTCCCTGGACAGCGTGTCGTCAGCCACCCTCAGAGAAAAGCTTTTCCTTACGTTCAGACAGCGTTTCATTGTGTGCCCATGGTGCCCGGTCCGGTCCGCAGGCAGCACCGAGCAAAGCCTGGCTGTACCCTCTGTGCCCACCCTTCAGGCATCTCCCACTCTGCTGAGATCCCTCCCGAGCCCTTTCTCACCGCCAGCAGCGCGGGGCCGGCTGGGCACTGCCCGGCGTGACAGCCCCGCTGGCACGGGCAAGGGGCCGGGACCGGCGCCAGGCCCGAGCCAGGCCCGCGCTGCCCGTGCCCGCCGGAGCCTCCATAGCCACCCAGCGCGGGCCCCGCTCCGCCCCCTGCCCCGGGGCCTCCCCTCGCCGCCCCGCCAGGAAGACCCGCGGCAGCCCCCCCGTTCCGCTCCGCTCCGTTCCGCTCGGCTCCGCTCGCGGGGCGGCCGGGCCGGGGCCGCCACTCACCCTCACCCACCGCCGCCTGCCCGGGGCGCGCAGCACAACAGGACGTGACGTCACCGCCCGCGGGGGCGCGCCCGGCCCCGCCCGCCCCGCCGGGAGCGCGTGCGCGAGCGGCGGCGGTTCCGGGGGGCGGCGGGAGGCGGCGGGTCCGGCCCGCGGAGCGCGGTGAGTGCCGCTCCCGTCCCTGTGTCCATCCTCATCCCCATCCCCATCCCCTCCGCGTCCTCATCCCACTCCCCTGCGCGGGTCCCCCTTGCTCCCCCTGAGCGCCGGTGAGCGCCGTCCGGTCCCCGCGGCGAGACCTTCCCGCGCGGTTCCCGCCGCCGCCGGTCCCCTCGTGAGGGCGGAGGGCGCGGGGGGAGCCCCGCCGGGCGCGGGCCGGTGCTGAGTCACGGCCCAGGGGGAGCGGCGGGGGCTGCTGGGGCTTCCCGGAGTGCGGGCGGGAAGGGCTGGGGATGGAGCTCCGGGCGGTTCAAAATACAGAATGAAAAAATAGAAAATAGGAAATAGAAATGAAACATACACAAGTGGCTGTCCCGCGGCCCGTGTGCTGCCCCCTGGGCCTTGGCCCGGGGTGTGTCCGTCCGTGCCCGTGGTTACCCGCGGGGGATGGAGGTGCCCGAGCCTTGTCCCTGCGCTCGGTGGGCTGGTAGTGCGGTGGTACTGGGAAACAGCCGAAAATCGAATGGAAAAGGAAAGGTGCGTGTTTTCCTGGGAGATAAAAAACAGTAAGTTTTCAGTGTGTTTTTTGACACGGTGAAGTTTGACTGGTTTTCACAGTAACTGATTTTTTTTTTTTTATGTGTGTGCTCGTTGGCTGGTGGATTTAAAATACTTAAGCTCATACTTTGTTATCGTTCAGTGAGACTTCTATTTAAATAAATTCTGCATTGTTTTGAGGGTTTGCCGTGTTGGTGATGAAGGGCAGCACGATAAAATATTTAGTCTAAAAACTGGTACTCTATTGTGAGTAATGTACAGTGATTTTAAAACTTTCATCCTTCTGCTAAGGCTGTAATACAGGAGTTTGCTGTTAAAAACACCCAAACTTATGTAGCCTGATTGTTTTTAATTTCAAAGAATCATCTGAGGATGACTTGGGGGCCAAGGAATAAAAGTGAAGTAGAGACCATCTGTTTCACCAGGGCAGTAATATTTGGCTAAGAGAAAATATGCAATAGTAACTTGTTCAGATGAGCATCATGTTGTTAGTGTTTGAGCTTCTTCCTCTCCTGTTTACTCCCTGTCTGACTCATGGGACACCATGTGCCTTGAAATTGTTATGCTGCATTATCCTTGTGTGTGTGTGTCATAATAGCTGTGTGCAATCCAGGCAGAATCACAGCACTGAGAGCAGCCAGAGCAGCAGTGGGGAGGGAGAGCTGCCACCTCCAACTGCAATGAGAGGGAGCAGAGATTTCCCCCATCCCTCTGCATGAGTAACTGAGCTGCAGAGCTTCTGACACAAAAGATCTCAGTGAAGAGAGAGTTCTTTTCCTTGCTACAAAAAAAAACCTTGTGCAGGGCTTTGCACTTCCTTTTGCTGAAGCTCATGAGGCTCCTGTTGAGCTCCCACTGGTGTTTCAGCCACTCATCCCAGTTTGGTGGCATCAGCAGACATGAGGGTCCCCTGCCACAGCACCCAGGTCATTAATGAAGGACTGAACAGTCCTGCACCTGGGGTACACCACTGGGCCTGACCTCCAGCAAACCCAAAGAGCATCAAATTTAGAAAGATTTGAGGTCCTTTGTAGCTAGACTAAATGATGGCCAGGGTAGATTAAAAAAAAACAGCCTTTTTTTTTTTTTCCAATTTAAAGCAAGGCTTTCAATTTGCTTTTTGTATTTGTTTGCATTTGTACTTTTTCACAAGCTGATACTGGTAAATTTTAACAACTACTTGTAACTATAATACCATGTTCTGATAGGACTGTGTAGCTGTTGCTGGGACCTAGACATAAGGTCAAAAAGTTTTGTTTGGCTTAAAACTTATCTTGTTTCTAAAAAAAAATCTCTTGGTTTGGGTTTTTTCAAGTGTATGTGTAACACTGGATCCCAAATTTGGAAAGAAGAGTTGTAGAAGGTTGACTGTTTCTAATAGTGTTGTTCCTTCTCACTTTCACCTCTTCTACAATTATTCTGATATCACTGTAAGACAAAAGGAAGAGTCTGGTTGGGCTGTAATGTATGTGCAAGATGCTGTTGACACTAAATTTGACTTTGAATTGTTAATTCACCTGCAGTTGTACAAGAGACTGTTCATTTCATTCTTGGGTACCATAAAGCTTGTTCTGAGTCAGCTCTCAAAAATGTGCTACTAGAATGACCTCAGCTTTGTGTGCTCAGTGTGCTATTTTGAGTTTATTTTCACGTATTATGGTGCTGCTGGGCAACTAATGTTTTTAACAAGGATTTGGCCCTTATTTTCATGTATCTTTTTTCTGATTGTAGCAGTACATGGTAATTCCATCACCTCCTGGCCATCCCAATGATGAAATCAGAAGCTAAGGATGGAGAAGAGGAAAGCCTGCAGACAGCATTCAAAAAGCTGAGGGTTGACACAGCTGGGTGAGTAACAGCACAGGAAGGGACAGACATAACATCTTACAAATGGACTCCAAGGGAACACCCTTGCTGTGAAATTTGAGGGAATGAGGTAATTGCAGAAGGTTAGGCAAAGAAAGCTTTCATTGTAGTTAAACAGACTGAAATAAATTCACTCCCTGCAGACTGCACTTCTTAAGGAATTGTAAATTGTTTGATTGCTGTCAGCTTGCAGCAGGTTTGAAAGAAACCTCACAATCATGATCAGCTCACAATGGGCTTGAAATGAATTTTGGCATGAATCTGGCTGCCAGAGGTTACCAGTGCTAGAGTCCATAGGACTAGAACTCTGCTGTTGAATTTGGCATATTATTCTCATGACAGGCCTTCAGAACCATGGTAAAGTCACATCTTTTCCCAGGAGAGAGACTTTCTTTCCATGTCAGTAAGGAAGAGATAGTTAGATTCAGTGCATGATTCCCATACAAACTATTTTCATTGCTGTCACAAAATTTCTATTAATAACCAGAATGACTAAATGGGAAAGAATGCTTTTTGTGTTGCCTTGGTTTGTGGAGATCTGTCACATGGCACTTACCTTCACTGTCCCAGGTGGCAGAACACAAGCACCACATGTCTTCTGTTGGTAATGGTAATTTTTACCTGAAATTAATTAAAGGAAGGCTTCCATTTAATGTTTTTTTCTGCTGACAAATGTGCACCATTGTATATTACCTGTAGAATCTGGGATCCCATAAGCTGTTGTCAGTGATGCAATTACACTGTCACTGAAATGAAAGGGCAGGTAAGGCAGCATCAACATGGTAACTAGAATTAGCACAGAACTGAGATTGTGAGTAGATGGGCTTCTAAAGTTATCTTTTGTTTAAGTAATTAAACTCATTAGTAATGTATTACCTCTAATTTCTTCAGTATCTCTAGTACCATCCTCCAGCTGGGCATATTTGATTACTTTGGAGTTTTTACTGGTGCCTTTTGATCTTATGTTCTGTATTCATTGTCATTTAAATGGAGATTAATTTGATTAATAGTTTGGATTCTCTTAACCCCATCCTAGATCAGTGTGTGGCGACTTAATTTCCCTTTTCAGGGAATCTGTCCTGTTTACAAACTGATTTAGCATAGGATTTGGAAAATAATTTTCTTGGGACTTCCAGTGTAATATGTGACGTCACAGCTTGAAAGAATTGTTCTGGGATTATTGTGAGTCCTTCAAAATGGGAGTGTGGAGTGAATTCATAGCACCAGAAAATTTACTAAATGTGCTAGGGCCCCTGCCTTGAATAGAAACCAAAGGACTGACACAACTCTGTGGCTCAAATGATTCAACTTGCAGGAGTATGAAGAGTTTTAGCTTATGTTGACAGGCTATGTTAGACAGAGGCTTAAGTGTTCTTCAGCTAAACAAAGTCTATTTATGTCCAAAGAACATTTATTTTTAGGAAAGAATGGCTTATTTGTCTCTGGAAAAAGAGCCGTGTTTCTTCAGTGGTGGTGTTGCTGCCTTCCCCTGTCCTGGGAAGCTGAGATTTGGCCATTGTGTGTGTTTGTCACTGACACGTGGGGCTGGCTCTGCGGTGCTGAACGGCATCCCTCGGTCAAAGGGTCTGTTACACAGACCTTGGGATGGCAGTGTGTCAACACTCATCCTTCAGCACTCATCCTTCTGATGTGGGTCTTTGTGGGCAGGTCTTTGAAGATGTATTCTAAATGGTTTGGAGCACTATTTTCTGGGAGAAAAGATGGACAAGGGTTTATTTTCATATTCGTAACGCTAACCAGAGCAGGCTGTTAACTCTTCATTCTGTCTCTCACAGATGTACCACTTCTCTCTCTGTGGGTGATGGGACAAGTCCCAGAGCAATAGTTAGAACAGTGGCAGATGAAACCAAACCTAAGAATGTGTGTGCTTCTAAGGAAACCTGGCATGGGTAAGAGAAGCTTGGGATTATCAGACTATTTCAAATGATACTGCATTGAAAAGGAGTACTAAGTAGACAGTTTCTAGTTGGTGTCCCTCTAAACAAGAGACCTGAATTGTCTTTACCAGAGAACTTTATAAAATACAGCAGCTTTTTGTCTTCATATATGACTGCTGTTCTTTACAGTTACGTGAAGTGAAAGGAAATGCTGGTCACCTGTAGGTGGCTAAATGTTGTAGATATTTCTCAATGCAAATGTGAGCTGCTGGTTTTGAATCAGACAATCATGAATGCATCTCTTTCAATCATTGTTTGACAATGCAGAAGCTGTCATTGTGCCTTGGGAACTAGATTAACAAAAATAATTGGTTTCTAGAGTATGTCTGCAGAACTTCATGCTCATCTGAAGCAAAACCATCCTTTGCCCTTGATTCATTAGTTTTGTGCTCTTGTCTTGTGCTTTGTCCTTCTTTTAGTGATTCTTTTGTCATGTCTCACAAGCTTTACTCATTTTTTGACCTTTAAAGCCCACTCTCTGAGATGCATTTCCATGATGTTCCTTTTATATTTTATACAACTGCTTGTCTAGAACTGAGTCAAATTCCAAGACAGCAGATTACCCTGAGCAAATACGCCAAACCTAAAGCTTCTGCATGCAATATAAATACAGGAGAGATTTTGCCCAGTGTTACTTATAACCCAACAATAATATTTTGGTGAATCTTCATTCCTTTTGTGCCTTTTCCTGGCAGGTCTGTAAAGAAGCCCTCGAGAGGAGTTGTGAGAACCCAGCGTCGCAGGCGTTCCAAGTCTCCAATTCTTCACCCTCCAAAGTTTATCCACTGCAGCACAAAATCACATTCCACATGCAGCCAGCTGGTGCAGAAGAGCCAGGCTGATGCCCAGGAGGACAGCAGTGGGTTTGGGGTGCCAGTCCCAAAGGAAGCTTGTGCACATGAACACTGCAGTGTCACTCCAGACGTTGGCCACAAGGGAGGTGATGAGCCTTTGGGAGTTCCTGTTGCACGGCTGACATCAGAGAACACACAGGAGAACTCTTCAGCTGCAGCTTCTCCAGCATCCAAAACAAGCCTAAAGACTACAGAGCTTTCTGACTTCCAGTCTGTGTCCAAGCTGACCATGAGTGAGCCGTGTGCATGTGCAGGTAAAGCCTGCCAGTGCAAACTGTGGCAAGATATGGAAGTGTACAAATTCTCTGGCTTGCAGAACACCCTCCCTCTGGCACCTGACAGAACGGTTTGTGAGGATCACTCCCAGCCCTTGCCATCAAGAACTCCCTCAAGTTCCCCACGCTCTTGCTCTGAGCAAGCCAGGGCCTTTGTGGATGATGTGACAATTGAAGATCTTTCAGGGTACATGGAGTATTACTTGTATATTCCAAAGAAAATGTCTCACATGGCAGAGATGATGTACACCTGACAGCAAGGAGCACTAAAACCAGAAGGGTGGCTGGTTGAAATCTGCCCTCAGGCACATCATGTGAATATGCAACCCACTCCCTGCTCACTGTGCTTGCAATAAAAACACTTCTTTGCATCTCAGCTGATGTTGATTATTTAAGCTGGACAAACAGTTTAGTTTCAGCATTATAATTTAAGCTTGGAATAGATAATGTGGTAAATGAAGTTAGAGCGTACCTACCCATACTTAAGAGACCCAACACTTTAATTCTACTTTGGTTCCAAAATCCTCTTTTTGCTTTGTTGGAGAGGAGTCACTAGATTGCTCAGTGATTAGAGCTCTTCTTGTGAGACACCTGGTGTCATTCAACTCCTTTGAAATCACTTTGACCTCAGGTTGTAAGACTCCGGCTTGTGGTTTTGGATGCTTGTGCCTCTGATTTGATTTCATAAAGGAGTGTGACCATCTCCTACTCTCCCCTAGGTACTTTTACTGGAAAAGTGGAAAGCAAACCTTTCACTGAATTTCTAACAGGCCTTAGAGACTTGTGTGCAAGAGAAACACCCTGCATTCTTCAGGGAAGTTGCTGCTGTGGTTAACCAAAGGAAAAGGGAGGGCAAGGGCTCTGCTCACTGTATTTGTTATGGTGAGCAAACCAGAATTTGCTCATTTCAGTGATCTTAATTCATACACTGTCTGTCACTTCTGAGTTTTTTTAGCTTCTTTTTTAGCCTGCTCTATAGGACCAAGTATTACCCTTCCTTCAGGCATTAAAACCCATAGACTGGAGTGAACAGTTGTCAGTTTTAGGGCAATCTTAAGCACTCTCTCCACTCCAGTCCTGCTAAACCATCATCACTTTAGCTGCCCTGTCCAGCTTTGCATTCTCCTGGAATTGACTGCTTCAGAAGCAAGCAGCTCTCTATACATGGTGTGCATCAGCACAGTGTCTCTTTTATGAGTGTCCAGCAAAGGAGCATCCCATCAAATATTATAATTTGTTGAGGGTAAGAAAAATTATGTTTGGTTTGTCTTTACTATTTGTGGTACCTCAATTTTCTGAGGTGTAAGATGTGGAGATGGAATGGAGACAAACATTTTCCTGCAAAATCATTTGGTATTTCTCTTGGGAGTTTTTGCAATTTCTGTGGCAGCACCTGGTGTCTCAGAACAAGTGGCCATGTAAGTTTACCTGTTTTGCCAGTTCTGAAATGTCACCTGCACCATGCAAAACGTATCTGTGTCCCACATCTCCTTCTGTGCTCTGCAATAGCTGCACTTCTGCCACCTGTGTTCTGAAGTCAAGGCAATTTTTTGGTGAATATTGTCTACAAAACTGGGCTACAAAGTGCAGAATTACTTTATTTCTCAAATAATTATTCTTAACTGCTCTCAAATGCAAATTCCAACCACAGCAGTGTCGTGGGGCTGAAAGTGCCTTTCAAGAGTGCACTGCTTTTAGCACTTCATTCATCAGTGACCACAGACCTGTACTGCAGGGTTTAGAATTGCACTGTCCACTGCTCAATACTGTGTTAAAAGTGGATTGAAATCCAGAAGATGTAAAAATAGTAGAAAAATGTGAGCTGGTGCTGACTGAGAAGGGATGAGCAGTGCCACTAGAGGTCAGCCCCAGTCTGGGGCTGGCTGCTGCAGCAGGCTCAGTCTTCAGGGAAAATGGGAATTTTTCTGCCAAAACGAAGAAATAAGAGCAGCTCTTATTTCTTTGGTGCCTCTTATTTCTGTGTGGTGCCTTTGTGCACACAGACTGTCAGTGCTTTCTGAAGTTTGTGTGGGTTTGTTGGTGGTCAACAAAAGCTCTTTAAATGCCAAAATCTGCATAAGTTATTAATGTTTAAACAAAGTGTGCCATCAGTTCACAACTGTGCTGTGCAATTAGGAAAAGTTGCTAAGTAAATAATTACATAGTCCTGAACTTGGCATCCTCTTGGGACAGTTACGACATCTTTGGGTTTGTAAGTGCTGGAACACCGTGGAATAGAAGCCCATGAGTTGCAGCAACCGCTGCCTTAACGCTTTCTCTTCTGTTACCACAAGTTGTTTTCAGATGTTTTGGTCTTCACAGAAACCATAAAGCAAAACCTTCTGGTTTTGCTTTGAGAAAATGTGAATTTATGGCCTTTAATCATGCAGCCAGAACCTTGAAAACTTGCCTAAGCAGTCTAAAAACTTAGTTTAAAACAACAAAAAAAAATTAACTCGAGCCAATTTCAAAATCTGACTTATTTTTAAAGAAGGCTTTAGAGGGCTGGTTCTGCCAAGTGGCACTTTTGAGTCATGTTGGAGTCCGTTACCAAAGAGCTCATTCCTTCCTGTGGCTGAATAAAAGCGAAGCCCTTTGTAATTAACTTTCCAACTTGGTCCTTCTCACCTGTGCCTGCAGGTGTTCTGTGTTTATGTGCTGTCCATACACAGAGCTTCTCTCACAGTTATATATTGTGTGCTTCCTCTGTACCTTTTCTTCCTAGAAATGCCAATGTGGAGATTGAAAGTTGAAAAACTGAGTCTGAACCCACCACTGTCTGTGGCAGCTTTGCCCCAGTTTGGTGGGATTTTGGGATGTCCCCTGGAAGGGCTGGTAACTCCCCACAGCCCCTGCAGCTTCTCAGCGTGGTGGTCAGTAAGGGATGGTGATTTCTGCAAGGTCTTTCTGGGAGTGTGTTTTTAGGAGTGGGATGGGTGTGCTGGAAGAAGAGAGGGCTTGGATTAGCCTGTTAGCTGGTCTTTCAGTCCCTGTCCTCTGCCATCTATTTGATGACATTATTACACACCAGGTGTCCTGTCACTGCTCCCTGTGTCTGCAGCTGTCTACCATCTTTTCCACACACAGACTGAATTATGCTGCTGGCTGTTAAACCTAAGGAAATTTGGGGATTTTGTTGTTTGGGACAGAGGGGTAAATGACTACTGCTGAACTTCTTTCACTGCCCTAAAACAGCTCTGGAAGGTCTCTTTGGGAGTAGCAGAGGGGCTGAGTGAGCTGTTGGCTGCACTCGGTGGCGGCTGTGCTCCCACTGCCTGTTCCACCTCTGCCCAGTTACACACGGTGCGAGTGACCCGGCCCGGGTGCTCCGGCCCCGCATCCCGCGGGGCTGCGGCGGAGCGGGACAGCGGCTGCCGGCCCGGGGGAGCGGCGGCCCCTTCCCAGGCTCTATTTTAAGCAGACATTTACTTTCCCAGCCTCTTCTCCGCCTGGATCCCTGCCCGGGGCGGGGGACGGCGGGGGGGGTGGGATGTGTCTCTCCCCTCCTTCATAAAAGGGCCCCGAGGCGGGGGCCGGGCTCCAGGGGGGTTATTTTTGGGAGCAGCTCCTGGGATCCGATGGCCTTGTTAGGGCAGCGCTGACCTTTCTCCCGGCGGGGGAGGAGAGCGGGACGGGACGGGGCGGGCGGCGGCGGCCGGGCGGGGGAGAGCGGCGGGCTCGGGACCCCCATCCTTCTCCGCCGCGGGGCTCGGGACCCCCATCCCTGCCTCTGCCGCGGGGCTCGGGACCCCCATCCCTGCCCCTGCCGCGGGGATCGGGACCCCCATCCCTGCCCCTGCCGCGGGGCGGCTCCCCGGGCAGCCCATGCCCGTGCCCGCGGGGCAGGTAGCGGCGCGGAGCGGCTGCCCCTACGGGGGGGCTGGAGCTCGGCCCGCCCTTCTCCCCTCCCTCTCGTCCAATTTCTCTCTCCTCCCGTGCCCCAGCCCCTCGGCCGGGCCAGGCGAGGCAGGAGCGGCCGCTCTCGGCGCCCAGCCCGTTCCCTCCGGGGATGCGGGAGCCCCGGAGCGCTGCCCCTGGGAACGCTGCCCGGCTGAGGGGCACCGGAGGGCACCATGAGCGGCGGCAGGTTTGATTTCGATGATGGAGGCGCCTATTGCGGGGGCTGGGAGGGGGGCAAAGCCCACGGGCACGGCATCTGCACCGGCCCCAAGGGCCAGGGCGAGTACTCGGGCTCCTGGAACTACGGCTTCGAGGTGGTGGGCATATACACGTGGCCCAGCGGCAACACCTACGAAGGCTACTGGTCCCAAGGCAAGAGGCACGGGCTGGGAATCGAGACCAAAGGACGGTGGGTTTACAGAGGAGAGTGGACCCATGGCTTTAAGGGACGGTACGGCGCCAGGCAGAGCATGAGCAGCGGAGCCAAGTACGAGGGTACATGGAACAATGGCCTGCAGGATGGCTACGGCACCGAGACCTACGCTGACGGAGGTAAGGGTGGCTCCAGAGGGAATGGGAGGGGGATGAACAGTGTCACACCCAGCCTGTGACAACAGAGGTTGCATCTTGGCTGATGAAGGGCTCACCTGGTCCTGTTCCCACTAGACAGACACAGTGTCCTACAATGAGCCGTTGGGGCGCTTCAGTCAAGAAGGGGAGCTTGGGCTGCAGCCATCTCATCCATGTGTGCGTGCCCCAGTTTTCCCAGTTGGGCACAGAATGCGCAGCTCACTCTCAGTGGACATGAGGGAGGAGCAGCAGGAGCATTGCCCCAAGCTGCCCTTAAGTGTCTGTTTAGGCAGTTAGCACCAACCAACTTGATTGTGTGTAGTCTTTGACTCCTGGTTCCACAGGGACTGGTTATTGCAGCTTCTGGCTGAACCAACCCAGAAATCCCCAGCTGGTGCAGCACGGCAGCAAGTTGTGAATGTTCTCCTGTCGGATATGAGCCACCCACAGCATCCCAGCACGCCTTCCCTATGCATCAACACTGCCTGCATGCCTCTGACGGGCTGCCTGCACATCTGCTTTGCCAAAGAGTTTTGATTGAGTCTGTCTAAGCTGTTTGGAATATGTAGCCACACATATTCCCCAAAATCCCTTTGGTTATTTGGGAGGTTTCAACCTCCGCTACTATACAGCTACACTATGTAGTCAGATATTTGTTGTGCTCTGTAAATGCTCAGTCTAATTGTGTTCTTGCATTAGTGGCAATTCTGGGGTTAGAAACATTGCAAGAATTTCTGTGCAAGTAATTTAGTAGCGCTTCAGCACTGTAATGTTCCGGGCTGCCACATTTAGGATAGCTAAATAGAGACGGTGATTTGAAAGAAATACCCTTCAAAATATGGATCAAAATTGCATCTATATTTATCTAGGACAGGCATTGGAGTTTGTTTATAAAGCAAAATTAATATAAATCCTCAGAATGAGAAGCTTCACATTTATAGATATTAGAAAAATGGACTAATTCAAGACTGGCTTTCAGAGATATGTTTTTCATAAATATTTCTCCATGAGTTGTGTGGGTTTGTGGCTAACTTTAAGATTGAGAATACAGTCTTGAAATTGACCCATTTTCCTTGTGCCCTTGAATGTTGTAGGTACAGACACGAACTGACACATCCCTCAAGCTCCCTAAATTTTTCCCCCTTCTGTATTGTGGCCATGGAATGGTTTAATGGGTGCAGGTTGTGTGCACAGAACCTTCACATGAGGCCATAAGAGGATTAGGTGACATGGGAGGTGTGCTCTGATGAGTAAAGAGCAGCAATCAGGTAACTGTCAGCAGCAGCTGCCATTGGGAATTTCATTCTGGAGATGTCAAGGTCTCCTGTGAATTTGCACAGTTGCTTCCTAAAATGCAAATCCTTGTAAGGGTGAAGGGCTACTGGAATTCCAGTTAATGTTCTGGGGGAGAATTTTGAGTGGTAAGACTTGACATAGGGGTTTGATTAGATATGGGACAGAAGAGTGGGAGAGATGAGCCAGTGCTGTGTCCTGCAGGGATATAGGATATCCTGCTTCTGTCAGCACAGTGCTCCCCGGGGTGTTGTCCCTCACCCAAGAACGTGCCAGCTGCTTGATCCCTGGTGCCACTGGGGGCTGGCAGTCCAGCCCTGATCCGTGGAGATGTGCCCTGCCAAGGCACTGAGCTCAGCCCCATGAGGGGTGTGCTGGGGTGCCCAGTGGCTGCTCCATGTGCTGGGTCATCACACCCTGGCTGATCTGAGCTGTTCATTCAACAAGAGCTTCTCTGATGGCACAGCAACATGGAGAAATCTGCAGTCAAAGCCAGGGATCACCATCCAGCATCACATCTGAAGGACAGGAGTGGAATGGTCCCCCTGACCTGCAAGACCTTTTCCTGATTTGTCTCCTCACCTGCACACAGCAACCACCTGCAAGATCCAGATGTGGCCAGACTGCTAATGGGACCTGTTCATGTTCGAATTTGAGGTTGCCAAGATAAACATCTGGAAAGGCTTTGGATATCTGCTGTCCCTGGAGTAGGGGACACGATTCCCAAGCCCCTTGGAAGCCAGCCACATGAGGAAAAGGGCTCTGGGAATGTGCAGCCCTTGCCAGGTCGTCAGAAACTTTAGGTCATGGTTGGACTGTCTGCAGATTTCAGGGAAATGTAGCTGATTCTGATGTTTTAAAATAGACCTTAACTTTTTATATATACATACATAAAAATTTACATTTCAAAAACACTTAAGATATAGGGCTGTCTGTGTCTGAATCTTGTGTCTGGCCAAGATTTAAAAAAAAAGCCCAAATCTGGAGTGAAACTTTCTGAAATCCCATGTAGATTTTTGATGTCTAATAAGAACCAGGGTCATGGTACAGTTTAGCCCAGGCACTGTGTGAGTTATTTGCTTTTCTCCCCACTACCAAAAGCCCATTTTTGTGGGTGCTGTGGGAGACTGATGGCTTTAAAGAGATTGAAATCAGCCAAGGGGTTCAGAGCTGCTGGTGTGGCTGTGCAGATGCAGTGACATTCTGATACATCTCTTTGTGTATCCAAGCTGGATATACTCTGTGTGCTGCTGTCACCAGGGCAGAGCTCAGAGCCCTTTAGAGGGGCAGAATGCTCTGGCTGAAGCAGTGAGTGGGGCTGTGGAAGGCACAGCATAAAGGAACTCATTGTTCTGCAACATAAGCTATGAGTAAACATGTAGTTATTTGGCTTTGCCCAGTGAGTTTTGTCCATGCTGTGAGGAAGACCTCATTTTTTGGATGCTTTTGTGCATTTGACTGTGAGTCAAAACCCTGAGTCAAGTCTTACTGCAGAAAAACTGCTCACTGAATCATGCTGCATACCCATGGTCCAACCCAAAGCCTGTCTTTGCTGTACAAATAACTGCTTATATGTATGGAGGGGAAAAAACATCACTTGCAATCAGTGCAGCCTAAAACCAACTTATTTCTGATACTGCAATTTGTTCTCTAGGGTGCTAAGGAAAACAGTGGTGTCAATTAACCATGAGGGAACAATTAGACCAGTCAGTGATAGCAAGACCACAGAAGAGGAGAAAAGAAATGCAGCAGTGCTTTACTGGGGAGATGAAATGAGTGATAGGGAGCAGCACAACTCTTCCCTGTGGCAGGGCAAGTGCAGTGGAAAGGGGCCTGGGCCAGGACAGAAGGAGCATCCATGGGATTGTGGCTGGGAAAGGAGGAAAGGGGCCTGGGAGAGCCACCACAGTGCTGGCTTTTGTCTGCTGCCTCTGTAGCAAGGCTCCTGCCTGGCTGAGTGAGACCCATGAATTAATATAGTCATATTAATTAATTAATATAGGAATTATATATTAATTATATAATATATATTATTTATTGTTATTAATCAATTATATATTAATATATAAATATTTAATTTTATATATATATATATATGTATGAATTTTGTACCCCTCTATGTGGTTTTCTTTGCTTTTCTTCTCCAGCAGAACCCATCAGACACTACTGCTGGCACCAAAAGGCAGCAGTCTGTTTTTGCTGGCCTGTCCTGCACATGGTGCTGTGCATCATTTAAATGTCCCTGGCCACTGACACTGAGTTCCACCCTGCCTGTCATCGCAGTATCTGGGTGACAGCAGGGGACTGTAGGGCAGGGAAGCGATTTGAGCTGTTTGCATTATTTACATGGTTGTTTGTATTATTTACATTCATCACTAATTATATGGGAGCCTTGAGACAGGCTGGGAAGGGGAAGTGTGTCATTGCTGGTGATGGGATGTTGCTGCTGGGCTGGAGGGCACTGGGAGCTGAAGCTTTTGCACTGGATGCAGTGTGCACTGTCCCTGTGCACTGTCCCATCCTGCTGCTGGGGTGAAGCAGGGGCTGCTCCCACCCCTTGGCAGTGTTTGGGGGTGAAGGCTGCAGGGATGTAATTTCTATTGATCCCAGAATTTAATCCTTCCCAACCTATGAAGTTACCCAGGCAGCATCACCTGCTTTTGGCTGGGGCTGTGCAGAGGTGATGAATTGTATTCCTGGGGGTTGCAGAGGAGCCAGTGTTTTTTGTATCAGGACAAATAAAAATGTGGCCAACAAAGCATGTTTGGGGCTCTGTCCCCCACTAATCACACCCTGATTAGATGAGGTGTCTGTCCCACTGCCCTGATGAATCACTAGGGCTGGGAGGCAGGGAAGTGAGCTCCCTTATCCTAAACAGAGATTTATTTGTTCCACATCCATTGCTTTTTAATTATTTTTACAGAACCTCAGACATGCATGAGCCGGTGGCAGGCTGGCTGACAGCTCTGTGTGCTGCCCCCTTGCCTGGGCAGTGTTGGGTTTGGGGTGTGGTGGTGGCCTGGGGAGGTGCAGCCCTGCTGCAGGGGCATTTTGCAGTGCCCGTGTTCAGCGAGGTGCCTGCGCTGGGCCGTGTTGGCGCGGCAGTGCTTGGCTGTGCTCACACCCTGCGTGCCCTGACGCACGGCCCGGCGCCTGCAGCCGCTCCCTACGGCCTCTGGCTCCTCTCCAGGGCTGCTTTATGGCCCTGCCCTGGCACAGAGCCTCAGCTGGGCAGGGAATGGCAGCATGACAGGGACATGGCAGTGCCTGCTCGCCCCTGCCTTGGCTGGGCAGCGCTGTGTCAGTGCCCTGCGTTCATCCGGGCAGGGTTGGCAGCTCTGGTCACAGGGGCAGTGTTGGTGCTGTACAGGCTGAAATCAGGGAGCAGAGAGCAGCCTGCAGAGCTGAACCCTTCACTGAGGGTGGCACTCCATCCCTGCTCCCTGGAGACCCATTGTGCCGCGTGGCTTTCCCACCCAGCTGGCTCTGGTGCTGTTGAGGGGGACAGAGGGGGATTTGCTGGAGGGCAGCAGCTGCTCTGACCTGACCCCTGAGGAGTGAGTGAACCCCCTTAACCTGCAAGATTTTCCAGAGTTCCTTTTCCAGGGAATTAACATGGAGGCATTACCAGCTGCAGCCTGATACGTGTGAAGTTGTTCCCATCCTAGGAGAAGGTCTCCAATGTCACCCTGATCGTGTGTCAGCCCTGCTCGCTGGCTGGGCCGCTGGGGTGGAGCACTGACCTCACCAGGGAGGGACATGGGGGCACTGTGGGGTCTCTATAACTTCAGCTTGCACTAGGAAGGTTCACCACCATTTTATGGAGAGGGATTTGGGAGCATGGTGAGGAACATGCCCAGATGCCTGGGATCTTCAGTGATGGTCCTTGATTCCTGACTCGTGCCCAAACCCATGCTTATTTTTCCCTAGAAGAGCTTCAAACTCATCCAAGAAAATGGAAAATGGCCCCTTGCTCTGGCAGATGGCTCCCCGTGGCTGGCTGCAGCCTGCAAATGCCATGTACTACCTGAACCCCTACATTTTTGTAGGGGTTTACAGGAGCCCCAACTGTTTACAGGAACCCCATAATCCCCCGTGTCACAGGGTGGGCAGGGGCTGGCTGGGGGCAGCTCACCCAGGGCAGCAGCTGCTGCTCACTCGGGCACTTCTTGTCTTTCCTGGCCCTCAGCACTGTAAGTTAACACTCCACAGGCAGGTCCAAAGAGGATTTCAACGAAACCTGAAGCTTGGGAGGAGAGATTATGCTGCAGAAGTGGCCTGGGAGACTGTAAAATATGCACTCCCACGATCGCCAAAGAAGGAACTGGATTTGCTCCTTGGGGAGCAGGGTCATCCCTGGGCTCAGTAATAGTGTCTGAGGGGGGAGATTAATGCCTGGAAGATGGGTCACCCCCTTCCATCTCAGCCCAGCCCTGGCTGAGCCTCCCCAGGACTGTGGGAGTGCCTGCTCTCCCAAAATCATGTGTGTTCTGGTGGGTCACTGCTTTTTGCAAACCAGGTTTAGGACAGATGGCTGTGAAAATACCCCCAGCACAGCTGACCCTTCGCTGACATGAAGCAGCACCTGGGAGAGTAGAGTGGCCTTTCCAAAGGTATTTGTGCTGCCCCATCACCCTCTGCCTGTGCCCCAGGCTGAGGGAGCTGCTGGCAGCCTCTGTTCCACAGGGTGCTGCTCTAGGGTGGCCCATTCCAGGTCCTGTAATGCGAGGAGCAGAGTGGAATGTTGCCTTTGTTTTGGGTGGTTTGCTGGTTTCTGAGGCAACTGCATCTATAGACTGATGAGAGACAGTCTGGGAAGATGGCTCATCCCATCCCATCCCATCCCAACCCATCCCATCCCACCCCAATCCACTGGGCTCAGGGGTGCTCTGACCTTCCCTGTGCTGGCATGGTGGGTGCTGTGGGTGAAGGCTGCCCCACCAGCCCCCTGCCCTTCCCAGTTCTTTTTGTGGGGCCTCTGATGCAGCTAATTTAAGTCTCTTGACATTCTAGTGAGAAAAGTCAGAGTGGGGGTCTCCACTCTGCTGGAGCCTGCAAATGTGCTCACCTTTGGGATCAAGGCATCTGGAAAGGAGCAGTAGTGTCCCAGTCCTTCAAGGACCACCTTGGGTCCTGTGCCCAAGGTGCAGCCCTGGCCATGGTGAACACAATCCTTTCTGTGTCTCTCATCATATGACACCATCTGCCCACTCGAGCTGGGTCTGAAGGAATGGGGTGGGGTGGTGCTTTCTGGGGTAGAGCTGAACGAACCCTACACAGAGCTGCTTCTCTCCTCCCTTTTTTGCCCATCTCTTGCTTTGTGCAGTGTGGCACAAGCCTTGATCTTGGGAACTCAGAGAAGCCATAAGTCAGCACCAAGGAGATGTGGCTTCAGGCACCAGGGCAGTCAGTGGACATGTAGGATCCTGACTCAGGGGTCTAGAGGTGGTCCTGGCAGCCTGCAAGGGACAGCCTGCAGAACAGGCCGAAAGGGACTGTCACCAGGCCAAGGGCAGATGTGCCAGTGCACCTCACATGCCCACTGGGGCTGCTGCCACCCTCTGCACAGCCCAAACTCCACCCTGGGGGCTGCCTCCTGCTCCCTTCTCTGGATGAAAATCCAGATCCCGTGCAGTAAGTGGATCTGCAAAGTCCCTGTACAACCAGCTGCCACCTGCCAGCAGAGCCTCTTGCGCTGCTGTCCTCTGCTCCCTGGGCACTGATGCTTTGCATGTGGGTGAGCTTCAGCGGAGCCGGGCTCAGCACAGCCCCACATCTCATCTCCCTCGGCCGTGCCAGGCCCGAGGCGCTTTCTCACGCTGTCTTGTCTCCCTCAGGCACGTACCAGGGCCAGTTCACCAACGGCATGCGGCACGGCTACGGCGTGCGCCAGAGCGTGCCCTACGGCATGGCCTCCGTGGTGCGCTCGCCGCTGCGCACCTCGCTGTCCTCCCTGCGCAGCGAGCACAGCAACGGCACCCTGCCCCAGCAGGACTCGCCCGCCGCCAACGCCGAGAGCCTGCCCCTCTCGCCCACCATCACCCGCGGCGGCTTCGCCCTCAGCCTCTACGCGGACGCCGAGGCCGCCAAGGCCAAGAAAGGCGGGCTCTTCCGCAGGGGCTCCTTGCTGGGCAAGCTGAAGAAGTCCGAGTCCAAGTCATCCCTGGCCAGCCAGAAGAGCCGCGTCAGCTTCCTCAAGAGCGAGAGCGGCATCAGCTCGGCCGCCAGCGATGCCACCTCCACCGTCAGCCTGGGCGAGGGCGCCGAGGGCGAGGAGTACACCCCCTTCGAGTCCGACATCGACGCCACCACCACGGAGACCTACATGGGCGAGTGGAAGAACGACAAACGCGCCGGCTTCGGCGTCAGCGAGCGCTCCAGCGGGCTCAAGTACGAGGGCGAGTGGCTGGACAACCTGCGGCACGGCTACGGCTGCACCACGCTGCCTGATGGCAAGAAGGAGGAGGGCAAATACCGCCACAATGTCCTGGTCAAGGGCATGAAGAAGCGGGTGATACCCCTCAAGAGCACCAAGATCCGGCAGAAGGTGGACAGGAGTGTGGAGGGGGCTCAGAGAGCTGCAGCCATTGCCCGGCAGAAGTCGGAGATTGCGGCATCCAGGTGGGTGCTTGGAGCTCCAGCACGCAGGTTCCCGTGGGGATGGTCCCATCCCGTGTGTTCGGGAGTTGTTCTTTTTCTCATCCCCTTTCCTGTCCCCCTGCAGCCCTGGTCCAGAGGGGAGGTGCTGGACAGCAGGGATTGTTACCAGCACTGGCACTCAGCAGGGTGGGGAGCATCCAGGCTGCTCCTTGACAGGCTGCTGTCAGAACCACTGGGCATTGATGGGGCAGCCTGAGAAACAGAGGGTTTGATGGTGACAAATGCAACAGGCTCATGAGCAGCCAGACAAACTGGGGCTGCAGCAGAACACAGCTTGGCCCTGGAGCCCCAGTGTGGTGGCTCTGGGGGAAGTTTGTGGGAGGCATGAGGGTTGTCAGTTTTAGCAGCTGAGTGTAATTGCTCCATGGAAGAGAGAGGAAATAAGAGTGGCTTCAGGGTCTGCCTGGAAAGGGCACGGGAAATTCTCCTCCTCCAGCTCACATCCCTGCCTGTGTCCAAGCTGTGTTGGCAGCACACTCCTTCTGCAGCATTCCTGCCAGTCTCAGAGCTGACCTGGCAGAGAACAGAGATCTGGGAGCCTTTGCTCCTTTCCTCTTCCTTGGGGAAATGTGGTTGTAACAGTGCTTGAGGTTTCACCTGACCTCACCATGAAAACCTCACCCTGCACAGGCTTTGCTCAGCTGCTGGGCAGTGGCTGTGACTCCATGGCCATCCTGTCTCACTCCTTTTAATTCCTGTTTAATTCCTGTTAATCAGTTACTTCATTATCAACCAGAGGAGGGAAATAAGCAAGGAGGACACCTATTCCCAAACCCCATTCCACTCCTTGGAGAAACCCCCACTTTACTCTCCTGATGGCCATTTCTTCTCCAAACTTTTGCGGGAGCACAACTGATCTTTTTTTTTTTAATCAAAACCCAGTTGCTTCAGGGACTGGTGGAGAAAACCCAGCAGGATTGCAAGTGAAGCTCCATGCAGGGCCAGCTAGGATAAAAATAACAGGCTGGGGTGGTGTGGGGCCCTGGATCCTTCTGGCAGGGCAGGCTCAGCCCAACACCAGCTTTGCCGTGCCTGGGAAGAGCGTGTGGCTGTGGTGTGAATAAGGAGGCTGGAGCTGCAAACACTGCTCCCCAAGAGCTTGGCTGGTTTACACAAACCTCTTTTTATTATACACTATTTACACTTTGGATCAAAAGCGGCTCTGCAGTGTTTTCAATCAGGGGCTGGAATGCGCCCGCTGCCCTGGCCAGGGACTGCATCCCTCCCCAGTGCAGCCAGGGAATAATTTCCTATTAAGGAAACCTTGGAGCTGGAGGAAATAAGACATGGAAGGAAGCTGGTTTCCTCCAGGGAGCCCTCAGTCAGCAGACCCTGCAGTAGTGTGGCTGCTGGGCAGGGAAGGGATTGTTGTGCTGGCTGGCAGTGTGGAACCCCAGTCCTGTTGCTGCAGCACAGCTTCCAGCTGAGGAGAGGGGAGTTCAGCCTGCCTGTCCTGTAAACTGTAACTCAGCATTGCCATCCGTGTTTATTCCTGGTGTATCTTGCTCAGGGCAGAGCTGCTCTCTCTACCTGTAAATCCAACTGCTGCTCTCCTCCCTTCTCCTTTCACCGAAGATTTGGGGTAGAGAGTAGATCTACATCATTTTTCCTGGAGAAAATCCTTAGTTTAAACCCCAGCTCTGCCACAACTTTTGCTTTGGCCTTGAACCTTGCCTCAATTTCCACACCCAGGGCAGAATAATTGCAGACGGATTGTGAAAATGGATTATTACAGTTTATAGAAGGTCTGCACTATCATTAGCATTGCCTGGGCTCATAACTGTGAGGTGGAGCTTTCTACAATGGAGCATTTGCATTTCTCCTCAGATGGCAGTGTGTCCCTTACCCAAAAAAATGCCTTTGAGGCTCCACCCATCCTTTCCTGGGGAAGATATGACATTTTATTTATTACTAGACACTAATTATCAGGACACAGCAGGTGGGCTGTGTGAATTCCCAGCTACCTCTGCACACCTGTGCTGTTGTACATGGATGTTTGAGTTTCATTTGCTTGTGGCACTCGGGGGAGCCCCTTGCAGAACTAAACTGCTGTAGCATCCAGCCTCCTGCTGTCTAGGGGTGAAATGCCAGGGGAAGGTCAGATTTCTCCCTTTTGCACATAAAAGGCTCTTTAGGGATAGAAATTCCGAGGAAAACAAGCCCAAGCACTGGAAGCTGCCCGGGCCAGTTGCACCGCAGGAATCCCAGGCACGTGCTGAGCCCTGGGGTGCATGGCTGGGGGCTGGCAGCAGCACTGGGGGGTGCCCTGCCTGGAGCTTTGGGCAGGGGAGCAGTGACAGCCAGGGACAATGGTCAGTGCAGTCACCAAAGCTCCCCTGCTCCAAGGGTGCTCTGCAGGCACCAGGCTGCTTCACAGCTCCTGTCCCAGTGAAACAGGAGTGTTCCAGCCAGGGCCATGGGCAGTGCCAGCTACTGCCTGTCCTGCAGCCTCTGCTGCCCTCTCAGTGCCCCTCCTGAATCCTCCTGGGTTGGCAATCCAGCTGCTCTCCCAATTGTGCAAGAAGCTGAGGACATCATCTCACTGTCAGATGAGAGAACAGCTCTGTTTTTCATTATTTCAGTGGAAATCATTTGGCATGATTTCCATCAGAGAGCAGCCCATCCAGGTCAGCCAGCTTCACCCCATGCACAGCCCATTGGTGCTGCTCAGATGTTGGGTATAAACCCTGGGCATGCTCCTCAGCAGCTCTGGGGATCAGCTGGAGGGATGGAGTTGATGGAAGCTGGAGTGTGAATTCTCACTCAGGAGAAAAGTCATCTTGGAATGCAGCCTCTGTGGCAGGCAAGGCTTTACTCCTGCCCAGGGGTAGCCAGGGATGGATGTGGGGTTAACACACCTAACACACACCATGAGGGTTCATTAGCCCTGCCCTGCACTGCTGGTGCTGCAGGATTTGTCCTGTGTCATCCCAAGGGATTCCTGCCAGAGCTGGGGCCTGGCTGTTCCTGCAGTACCAGGTGAGGGCACCTGCTGTGTCACACCCTTCCCTTTCCCCCACTCCATCCTGACTGGGAACTCCTTTGAAAATAATTTGGGGTGGATGGGAAGCACAGGGAGAGCCTGGGATCACAGCTGGGGCTTCACATCCCAGGAGATGAAGTAGACAAACTGGCTGGAGGACTGTGAGGAGGGGACAGCTGCCACCAGGCCATGAGTGAGCTGGTTCAAAGCTGTGCTGAGGTGTGAAACAGCTGCCCTGCAGCTTTCTGGGCACATGGGCTGGTACAGAATAGGGTGCTCTGTACCCTGGGTACTTGATGCTCCTTGTGCCTGGGGAGCAATGTGTGTTTGCCTGTCAAGTGGGGAGGATGGTCCACAGATTACAGGGAAAAGAAGCATGGAAATAGTTGGCTTTCATCTCTTCAGAACAGATTAAAATAAAATTAAATAAAATAAAGTAAGAGGAAGGGCAGGACTGTCTGCAGGGGAAACCTTTGATTTTTTGAAACCTTTGTGCTCAGTAGCTGGGCAGCTTTTACAGGGGCTTTCCTTCTTTCTGGTGCTTTTTAAGGACAAAATGAGTGTAAATACTGCAAATCCCACCTCTGTCCCATTGCAGCAGTATCTGACGTGGTCTGCTTCTGCACATGCTTGTGCTTCCCAGTGACTTGGACCAAAATCAATGGAGGGACTTGGCCATGTGTCCTGCAAGGCACGGGTCTGGCCAAGCTCTGAGATCCTTTGAAGAGTGCATGTCCTGGCAGGAGCACCTCAGATACATCTGCTGGATGTCATGGGATAGTAGGAAAGCAAGATATTTGAGGCTGCAATGGCTGCTGTGCTTCACCAGTTTGTACTCAAGTGCTGGCCCTGTAGCCCCTGTGTGGTTTATACCTGGAGAGTACAACTACGAGTGAATACGTTTTGGATTTATTTTTGTTTTAATGTAATATCAGTAGATATCTGTAGGAATTTCTATATTCTGTTCTGAAGTGTGGGGCATCAATTCCTGATTCAGTGGGGTTTGCTCGTTAGGGTGAGCCTGGCTGTGTGGAAGCACAACTTTACATTGATGTGGCTTCCCCGCCAGCACATGGGCATGGCTCAGTGTGAGCTGTTGCCTGGTTTTGAAGCCTAAGTTGGTTTTCTATCCATACCCATGACTTTGGGGCACATCTTAGCTCTCCCTCCAAACAACAAGAGCCCTTGGCAGCTCCTGTATCACTTTCCAAGGCTCTTGTGCCTGGCTGCACTCCCAGCAGGGCTGTCTCCCTGCGCTCAGCATTTCCAGGCTGCGTGGCCGGGCAGAGCGAGCGTCTCCTTGGGGAACGTGGTGCAAATGACGTCCCAAAATCGCTGCAGTCAGCACAGGCTCCTGACTAAATAAGGGCAGGCAGAGCAGGGCTTTATCAGCGTGGCCTGAGTGTGACAGCTGAGAGCTGGGGCTGGGGCAGCCCACGCCGCTGGGGCTGGGCCGTGCGCTCCCACTCGGGGGGTGCTTTATTTGGCACAGCTCTGCTCTTGTCCCCACTGCTCTCAGGGGTTTAGGCTGCTGGTGGGGGAAGTGGGCAACCAAAGGGATATCTTCCCCAGACACCTCTTTGGTGAGCAGTGCTGTGTGTCCAGTGCAGTGCTGGGCTGGTGGGCACAGTGGCCTTGGTGCTCCTGGGGCTGACAGCACAGCTCAGCTTCCCCTGAGGCCAGATTTCAGACCTGGGATTTTAGGTGTGTTCAATCAGACTTGGGGTTTGCTATAAAAAAGCAAAAGGATTTTTTAAAAATGTGCTTTTAGCTAGAGGCACAGGCATTAGACACCTCAGGAGTTCAGCACATTCCCAGACCTTTAGGTCTAAAGCCAGAGGAGGGCAGGATGCTCATGGCCACCCTGTGATAGTGGGCAGCAGCAGCAGCCATGGCTCAGGACAGCCCTCCCAGGACAGGAGGGAGCAACTGAGCCTCCTGTGCTCTCCCAGCCTCACAATCTCTGCTCCAGGACTCC